CCCCCCCCCCCCCCCCCCCGCCATAACTTTTCTAATGGTCCGTCCCTAATCAAGGCAGTATACTGGGTAGCATTTGCGCTGGCACGAAAAACATACCGGATAGGGCTTCTGTTCGCACATAAGAACAGTGATTTTGGCGCGATTTATGTAACGGAGGCGAAGCTGCGCCGCGCCGATTTCTATAGTGGAGAGTCTTATATCAGATAGGTCAGGGGCACCCAACGAGAACATAGTTCAAAACCACTTAAACATAGCATTGTTTAACGTATTTTAGTATTTAAACGGTAGATATTGGCATAGTTTTACCCCCTAAAAATTTTTCATCTGTTCGGATTTCCTAGCTGAAAGTCTAGTGATCCGAAAATTATAGGGATCAAAACTTACCTTTTCGAAAATTTCAGCCGGGTAAAAGGCTCCCGAAATTCTAGGTGATCTTTTTAGAGTAAAAATCCGTTAAGAGTGGGCAATTATACCATTTTTTAGATGTTCGAAAATCCAAGGAGAGGCAGGCAAGCAAGAAATTTTACAACAAGTGTTCCGAAAATTCTAGATCTCAAATCGTCTTCCGAACAGATATTTTCCGAAAATTGTCATTGGGTGCCCCTGACTGGTGTTCATACTAATATCGGATAGGTGTTTATACTAATACCGGATAGCTTCCTGTGTCGGCGCGAAACGATATTCGACATGGTGTGAACATACCCTAGATTTACTTTTATCAGTCTTACTGTCGATGAGAAAAACGTCAAGAATGTACGTTATATGAAATATCTAACAGTCTAACAAGTTAATAGAAGTCGATGAAAATAGTCGAAACAGTGTATTGGCTTAATTTAAATACCCATCGACTACCCTTGTTCTTGTTGGATATGTCATACACAATCGACTAAATTTGGACTATATAAAGCGTTCCAATTAGGCCTCTACCAAACGGACATTTCACGATGGCTTGAATAACAAATGAGTTACTTTTTCTTCGCCCAGGCTAAAACTTTTGTAAAAGTTGCTGGTGATTTTGCAGTTTGCATTTTCTTTTTGCGAGTCAAATTTTATTTATCTGCTGATGATACTACTAGGCCTTAACAGCAAAAGGAATCTGATGTCCTTATTGTTTCGAAAATGTTGAATGTTGGTTTGGACACGTCGAAACGTCGAGTTGAATTTTTTATTATTTACTTATTATTTAATTTAAATTAAATTGGCTTTGTGAGTGGCTGACAGCACGCAAGTTAATTCTAAGAGATATCAGATTTCAAGCAGATTTCTAGTAACTGCTAAGCAATGAACAAAATGAGTGATTTCAAGAGGTTACTCCATTTACATTTATTCTTATTTGGGAATGCGGTCAATCGAACAAATATAAAGAATCTAACAATTATTTTTCGAAATTACAAAAAAGATGCTCCCCTTTCATCCAAACTGAAATATATTTAATAACCGTCGCCTGGTTAAAAAGGAAGCTCAGTTGAGAGAGTGCCGGTCTGCTAAGCGGGAAGTCGCGGGTTCAAATCCCAGCCGGACCAACACTCAGGGTCTTAAAATAACTGAGGAGAAAGTGCTGCCTTCGCAATGACATCGGTTAGACTTTCTAGGCTTCTCGGATAAGGACGAAAAACCGTAGGTCCCGTTTCACAGCACTTTCACTGCATGATTTGTTCTTGTGGGACGTAAAAGAACCTACACTACTGTTCGAGAAGAGTAGGGGACGTAGACCCCGGTGGTGTGGCCAACCTCTCCTGGGCTGGGTGGTTATCTGTAAGGACATACTTAAATTGGAGCCTCGCTCTGTTGGGTGTTCTGCACCATATGATGGAAGTGATTAATAAATGATGAAGGTACTCACCGCTGGGATGTAAAGATTATTTTGTCAAATATGTCGGTTTGTTCATAGACAAGGACCTTAACTGGAAAATTTACCTCTGTTCGAATTTGTCGCTCTTAGAACCAGCAAGACAGTAATCATTGGAATGGTTGTTTAAATTAAGGCATTTTATCACTCTCTAGTTTAGTCAAGTTATACGAGTCTCGTTTTATCCTCACCTTACAAATGGAATTATCTCTGGGGTCAAACTTCACAGTCTAATTTAGAAAAGTTACTTCTCCTCCAAATACGAGCCTTTAAACGTTTGATGACCTTTTCAAAAGCACCCTCCTTTATCAATCTTAATATCCGACCTATAAATTTTCTTTATGTCAAATCAATTTTGAATTTATTGAATGATGTCTAAAATAAGCTGGCGCCTGTAAATATTCAACAATTATTCAAACATGTCTCTGATGTACATTCCTACAATACCAAGTCAGCCACAACCAATAAGTTTTATTTTATGGCCTCAAGTCTCGAACAACTAAAAAACTCGTTTTTTTTTTCAGGGTACGCAAATACAACGTTTTACCTGAAAAAGTTAGAGAATCGGAAAAAAAAAAATTATTGGAAATACAAAAACATGACATGTCCGGAAATACTCTGAAGTCTGATAACTCGTACCTTCGGCATCTTCAGTCAAACATATGGTAATAACCAAATTTCAGTTCTTTAGCGGTAACTTCCTGTATTTTCACAGGTGGTCCATTCTCGAAATAACGTTGTGAAATATGACCGTCGGCACTGTTGCGTGACTTTCGAAATATAACTTGGGATGAATTCGAACTAATTGCATGGGGGATAGGGGGGGCGGGGGATGGTTGTTTCTGTAGCCTACGGATGTGAAAAGATTTAACTAAAATTTGACTAACCTCGCTTAAGTTGTGTGTTTCTTCTGGCTTGTGTGGTTCTCGATTCCTGATTTTTTCCTCCCATACAAATCGCTATATTCGAACGCTAAGCAACAAAGCCGACGGTCATATTTGGAGCTTGGGCTACATGTTTTATTTGCCGCAACTACATTATTCAGCACCCTATATTTTGTCCAGCCTTCCTGTTTTGTTGCTTATTGCGGGTAGTTAACTTATATTTGCTCTGCCAAATTGATGACTGAAAAATGCTGAGTTATGGTCCACATGCAGTGCACCTGCTTTGTGTGATTAGCTAGTTGACATCATGTGCAAGGGGCATTTTTGACTGCAGATGAGTCTTCGTTTCACGCGATGCTGTTGATATTGCTTTAAATAATTGCTAATCAACGTGTGCGTTGTCGGAAAGTACTTATTTGGTAATTAAATATCAGAACACAAGAAATAAATTCTCAAGCTAAATCCTAGATGGTTTTGGTCGTTTTCCCGGGTAACACCTCACGAATATGCCGAGCTCTGACTGCAGAGCGGGAGGTCGCGGGTTCGATTCCCGGGACCGGACCAATACTTAAGGTCTTAAAATAACTGGGGAATGTAGGTACTCCCTTTGCACTGCAAATGGCTCGCGATCTTCGCTTGGCTAGGACGACCACGTAAAAAGGCGGCCCCGTCTCCAGTAGGAAAAGTAAAAATAGTGTCCCCAATTTGTACTTTCGTGCTAAATACATTGACACTCAAAGAGAGTGCTTTTTTTTTTTCGTTTCAAGCGATGCTGTTGATATAGCGCTTTATAAGTATATGTTCTCGAAAAATACCGAGGATGCAAACTCCATTTTAATATTTGACACTTAAAGAACGACATCACCGACATCACACACATGTGGAAAGTGACGCGAGTCGCCGCTTCATTCAGATAGACGTTCCAAATATATTGAAACAAGCCAGATAGACATTTGTCGGTAATTACCCGATGCATATTCAGGCGTCGCCTTGAAATTCGGCTCCAAGCTTTGAGTACATTATCGAATTCCTCGGGTGTACGCTAAATTACTACAAATTAATAACCCAGCAATGGGTGGTGTGGTTTTAAACGGCAAATGGGCAACGTTTCAGGTCAGAAGCAGATCAAGGACGCCAAGAATTTTCATGGGCCGAACCTAACGGATAGCTTTTGCACCGGCACGAAACCATATCGGACAGGAATCAGAGGAACTCATGCAGTTCACTTACGAGAATGGTGATTTCGCCGGGGTTTCTGTGACGTAGCGAATTATGAAGCTGTGTATACAAGATAGGTTTCTGTGCCACTGTTACGCCGCAAAATGTAACAATTGACGCAAAATGTAACATTAACGCGAAATGTAACAACTTTTGACGCGAAATGTAACATTAACCCGAAATGTAACAACTTTTGACGTAAAATGTAACAACGTTTTAACGCAAAATGTAACAACTTTTTGACGCAAAATGAAACAATATTTTTAACGCGAAATGTAACAAGCAAAATGTTACAGCCTTGAAATAACTGAGAGACTTGGACATGAGCCTTGTAG